AAATCCAATGTCACCAAAAAATACATCTAGGCCTATTTTCTAACCCTAATAAAATATCCTAGCTATAAAATAAAATTCTATAATATAAGGCACCCATAATACAAGGGTAAAATGGGAAATACAAGTAAGAATAAATCCTATGACTAAGGCACCTCAAAATACAAGGATAAAATGGGAAATACAAGTAAAATAAATCCTGTCTAAGATACCCAAAATACAAGGGTAAAAAATGGGACATTAAAGATAAGGGAAAATAGGAATTAAATGAATCCTAAAAAAAACTTAGGAGCTAAGGCCCAAAAGTAGGCTCACTCCTCATATGGTTTTTCAACACTAACCCATTTCTCTTGCCTCCTTTAATATATCTTCTTAGCCTTAGTGTGATTCCATCACAAAACATTTAAACATGATAAAGTGTCCATTGTTAATTGGAAAGTACCAAAACCTTACATTATGGTTATTACTATGTGATTTAGAGAGAGAATAGTTGTCAACGTGAAAATTAATTATTAACTGATCATGAGATTAACAAAGTTAATATCTGAGTATAACAAAATGAGTAACTTTTATAACAGAATAAAAATTTTGGGACATAAATGATACAAAAAAAAACTTCCAATGACTTATTGGTCATCTTTTCTATCTTTAAGAGACCAAATTGAACATTTAATCTTTAATTAATCAAAAGCATTTAATTGTGTGTGTTAAAGGACAATGGTAATAAATAATTAAATTCCTAATAATCAAAAGTTTAAAATGATGGGGGACTGTCCTTGAAGACACATGTGGGCCCTATCACTAGGTCCATGGCTAGGAGGATAGAAGAGGAGGGAACTCACACACCAAGAGACACTCTCCTCATGATCATAGAGTATTAAGTACTCTCCTAAGCCACTACAAGAAAAATGTTGATTTTCGACAGAAATTTCCTACGAAAACAAGTAAATTTCCGACGGATTTTTTTTTCCAACAGATTTTTGACGGATTTAAATCCGTCAGAAAAAGTGGCGTCGGAAAAAAAATCCGTTGAAAATAATTTAATCTGTCAGAAAATTCTGTCAAAAAGTTTTTACGGTAATATCTGTCAGAAAATTCTATCAAATTTTTGATAGAAAATTCCGTCAGAAATTTTCGACAGAAATATCCGTCAAAAAATTCCGTTGAAGTTTATAATTTTTTTTATTTTAATAAATTTATTAATGTAACAACCCTCATATTTGGCCTCTCAAGGGTTCTATTTCACGACATTTCACTGGTTAGCGTGTTTTATCCTTACTTGCGCAATTTCTGGGAAACTTCCTAGAAGGTCACCCATCCCTGTACTACTCCAGGTCAAACACGCTTAATTGTGAAGTTCTGATGAGTAAGCTACCAAAATATATATATGTATGTTGTCAGTATAACTTGTACAAATTAATTCATTCAAGTCATCCTCAAATATACAATCTCATACTTGTACTATAATGATAATATATAATAATTTTATATTACAAATAATAATAATAATAATATATTTAATTATTCATTATTTATATGTACTTACTTTTATAATTAAATCTACTTATTTTTATTTAAAATTATAATTTAAATTATTTGAATTTATAATTTATAATGATAATATAATTTATAAAATTATAAATATTTATTTATTACATACTTATAAATTAAATTTTAATATTTTAAATAAATTATTAATTAATTTAATATATTTATTTACCTTAAATCAAACATATAAAATTTAAAAAATGTATTTATCTTTTTTTTTTTTTCTAATTATCAACTATTAATAAAATACTAACTTAAAATCTTATCTAATTATATATAATATTTTCATATCAAATTTAAAACCAGATATTAGTTATACAAAAATATTAAGATCATATAGTAAATTGTCAATAAGATTTTAGTTAAATAATTTAAAATAATTAATATTTCAATTATATTGTTAATTAGCAAATAATTTATTCCAAAACTAATTAATTTTTTATATTAATTATTAGTAAAATTTAATAACTTTTAATTTAACAATTAATTGGATCGATGAAATTCAATACACCATGAGTTATTGGGGGGAATAACTTTACCAAGAGTTATTCTGTAACTTATCTTAAATCAAACATATAAAATTCAAAAAATGTATTTATCCTTGTTTTATTTTTTAATTACCAACCATTAATAAAATACTAACTTAAAATCTTATCTAATTATATCATATAATATTTTCATATCAAATTTAAAACCAGTTCTTACATTTTCGACAAATATAAATTTGTCTGAAATATTCCATCAATAATATAGGTTTTTCTACAAAATTTTTCTTATCGAAAATATAAATTTTCTGACAAATTTAATTTTGTTTTATAAGAATTCATCTTCGATTAATATAACATTTTGTATATATGATTTAAAAGTAAAGCATTTTTTAATTTTAACGGTTGGATTTAAAAAATTCACATTTAATATAAAGTTATTGAACGGTGTAATACTTAGTAAAATTTACATTGGTGTAATTATAACCCCCTATATATATATGTGTGTGTATATATATTAAATGTGACTTTTACTAAGTATTACATCGCTCAATAACTTTATATTAAATGTGAATTTGGTAAAATATATTTAAACCTTCTAAAATTAACAAAATTTTAACAAGTATTAAATATGAACGCTTTGATTACCATCCAGTTGTTGTTCAATTTTAACAAAATTTGATATATACGTATAAAGTGATATGAACTTTCAATTTATCGGTTGGATTTACAAAATTCACATTTAATATAAAGTTATTGAACGACGTAATACTTAGTAAAAGTTAGACCGGTATAGGTGGATGCCACGTAGATGCATAGGTGGATGCCAAATTTCTTGAAAACACCTGGAACCAGAACGGCCCGTTCTGAAACCAGAACGGGCCATTCTGGGTGCACTATTGGTGTGTTAATTTTGCATCTGAAATGGGTCATTTCAGATGCAAAATTAACACACCACCAGTTTCAGGACGGGTCATTCTGGTTCCAGGTGTTTTCAAAAAAATCGGCATCCACCTGTGCATTTACGTGGCATCCACGTGACCAATAGTTAACTCCGTTTAAATAATTTGGAAGGAAGTCTGACATTCCAATCAATTAATTTATTAGGAACCAAATTGAGACAAAAAATAAAAGTGGGACTAATTAAATTGAAACAAACAATTATTATAAGGGACTAAAATACTATTTTAGCCTATATATATATATATATATATATAAGAGTGATATACTTATTTTAAACGTAAGTCTACCTAAACCTGTTTTATTCAACAATTCATATTTTATATTAATTTCAATGATTCAACTATTAAGTTAAAAATTCTTAATACATAGATCAATTCTGCAAATTTTTTTAAAAATTTAATAACTATTTGATACTGTTTTATTTAAATTCAAATCAATATTTAAAATATTTTTTATGATTATCTGTTAATTTAACTATAAGATGGGTGATTTTGATTTTGGTCTTTGTAAAGTTTTTTCTTTATTTTTCATCCTTGTAAGATTTATAAAGATTGTTTCCTACTTGTAAAATGAGTAAAATATTTTTCTTTGATTTTCATCCCTCTAAAATATAAATTCACTAGTTTGATTATTTTAAGGTAGATAAATAATATTTATTTTAAAAAAACTAAAAATAAACTAGAGGTGTTAAATATCAATACGATAATAGTACGTAATTGTTGTAGGTGACAACTAAGATAATTATTTATCTTTTTTTAAAAAAAATAAAAAGTAGTTAAAAATGATTACATAAAAAATAAAAATTAAAAATAAAAATTCCAATTTTAGAAAATGAAAATAATAATTAAAAATAAAATTAGAAATTAAAAATAAGAATTAAAAACAAGAATTAAAAATAAGAAATTTCCAACGGATTTATATTTCCATCGGAAATATAAATCCGTCGGAAATTTATGATGGAAATATCCGTCAGAAATTTTCCGTCGGAAAATATAAATTTTCTGAAGGATCCATATCCGTAAGAAATTTGCGTTTTTCTTGTAGTGAGCCTTATTAGCATAGCATTTATTTTATTCCTATTTTGCCCTTGTCTTTTTTTATTATATATTTCATAATTTTACCCTTGTATTTTGGGGTACCTTAGAATCTAGGATTTACTCTTGTATTTCTTTTATCCTTGTATTATGGGATGCTTAGTGTTTAGGTCGTGGGCTACTAAGGGAATTATAAGTGAAGTGGTTCATAAAGGATCTTTTGGGATAAGTGAGGCATTGGCCCAAGTGGAAGGGCCACTAGGTTGCATGTCTCATTAGGGTTTCATTCCATTCACATTTTTGAATGGAAATGATTGCCTAAATGATGACCTAGCCGTCACCAATCCCTAGGGTTGCACATCCCTCACTTATAAATACTCTAAGCCTCACTCGTAAATGCTTTAGAAATCAATATAGAGTGAGCCTTTTGTGCCTTTATATTTCCTTAGTCTCTCTTGAACTATTTTTGGCCAAGAACCCTACCTATCTCCACCTTGAGAGAAACCCTAGAAGTGGCCTTCATGACCCATGGAGTAAAACCAAACCCTAGAGTACCCTTTCAAGCCTTTCATCAAACACCTTTCCCTCGTCATCCATTTTCGTCCATCCATCAAAGAACACGCCCCCTTGAAGAGCTTTCATCCAAGGAGTCAAGGAGTCCTTCCTATTGCTCACATTTCTTCCTTTTGTGCAACAAGGATTCCATCATAAAATTATAAACTTAGTTCCTAATATTTAAATAATAATTAAAAATAATTTCTTTTATTAAACATGTAGATAAAAAATAAATTATATTTTTTATTCAAAACATATCTTTCCTCTTCTTACAATGAAAATGCTACTACTATAAATAGCCTATATAATTTGGTAGCACCATTAAATCAGGACTTTCTTACATAATATGTTAATTAAAAACACTAACTAATATCTATATATTAGATCTTCATTTTTGATTGAGGTTTTTGAATTCATTTCAACAAAGGGACTTTTGGAGAAGTATTAGTAACTGTTCCATGGGCATTGTTGGAAGAAGCATAGGTTGGTTTTCCTGATCGTGAAGATACAATGTTAACATTATCAAATTTAATATTAAATTAAAACAACCCAATGTGCTACAATTTAAGAGTATTGCCAAGTCCCTAGCTGAAGTTCCAACAAATCCATGATAAGTCACTTCACTCACCATGACTGCTTGCCCCTATTTTGCCCAAATTCAAAACATAATTGAAGTAAGTAAAAAATATTAGACTAGTTAATATCACCATAAATAATATAAATATACATATATTCAAGTTTTTACCACTGCATTTGGTATCTTAATACCATAGTTTTGGTCTATAATTATTGGATTTTGAGCATCTTTTAGTATGATTTGGTCGAATGTGATTTTTCTTGCATAACCAGATCCTCCCTGTATAAAATTAGACAATATAAAAAAGCACCTAATTAGTGAAAGAAATGGAAAAAATAATTGTTTGCCAAAAAATGTAATGACATAATTTCAAATGATAAATGAAACACAATTATTCAATGATATTGAAAGACTAATAAATATAATATTATTTCCACTTTATGGTTTAATTTATTATTTAGTGAGACAAATAAACCTTATAGTTAAACAAGTATGCAATATCATAGTAGAAGATTTTATACCCTTAATTGATCAAAATTTATACTTGTACCTTATTTGAATAAATTCCTAATATGTTATTATAAAAAAAAGGAAATAAAAATTAAAAATAAATTAAGCATATCTGATTATTAAAATTACTTTTTGAATAAACTATATATAAGATATCTTTTATTAATTAACTTATACATAACTTAATTTTAATTTACAGTATAAATAAAAAAAATGTGTTGAAAACAAATATTTAGCATTCAATTGAATATATCCTTTTTTTTTTATTATTCAAAAGACGTAAACAACTAAAGAAAATTGTAGTAATTACTAATTCATCCTTATATAATTTTTTAATACTCACTGGCACTGTTTTAATTCTTGCTCCATTTGTAGTCCCAATGAAGCTGCAATTTTGTACATAAACCTCTTCAACTGTCTCATGAGCTCCATTTCTACCCAGACTACCGATGCTGATTGATTCATACATGTTTGATGCAAAAGAATTATCAAAAATAATGAACAACAAAATTAAGTTGAATATATCATATTTGTATAAATAAACTAAAATATAATATTAGAGAAACAAAGTTATATAGAAATTATATAAACCTTATCCCATGGCCTGGTCCACAGAAAAGCCTAGTGGCATTGATGTTGGAGCAACCACTGTTGATGGCAATACAATCATCACCTATTTCGAAAAGGAACAACGTAAATTAAAAGTTGCACATGAAATTACTTAATTTACAATTAATATTGAAAATTGTGTATTCTTAGTTTAGTTTACCAGTTGCTATAGTAGAATCTTGTATGGTTATAAATTTGGACCCAGCAATATCAAAGCCATCAGTGTTGGGACTGTTCTGAGGAGCATTAATGTTCATTTGAGAGAATTTTGCACCATTACAACTACTTATAGCTATGTGAGCTCCAGGACTATTTGTCATTCTTAGAGAATTCACAACAAGACTATTACAATTTTGGAAACGCAACGACTGCATTACACATGGTCACAACAAAATAATCAATTATTAAATTAATAAATATTAAAATCATAATGATTTAAATTTAAATTTTAAATATATATCATACTGCTGGTCGTTGACAAGTTTTGCATTTCTGCCACCAAGAAGAACCAATGCCATCGATAATTCCCCCTTGCCCATCAATTGTTAATCCATTTACATTTGAGATCACAATCCAACTTCCCTTATCACCAACCCATGCATTCATAGTTGGAGCAACTATTTTCCCCGCAAACTGCAACAAATTAAAGCAAAACAAAAATAAATAAGTACGATTTGTTTAATAAAAAATATATATTATCACTAACCAAAATTAGTTTTTTGTGATAATTAATTTATTTTTTAGCAGCCATATAAATTACCATTATTTTTTTTTACCAGCATTAGACATTTATATAAAATGCTGTTAAAGACCTACTAAATTGTCGAGAAAACTTATTTTTTTAGTGATAATTCTAGTAACTATTTTAAAGGCTATTAAAATTTTTTTTTTCAATTGTCTCCTTTCCATCCATTGACTTTTATTTTTTGCTAGTAAAACTTTAAATAATTTATTCCTATAATTTCATTTTCTAAATTCATAACTTATATATTTTTTTATCTCTAGTCGATGTGAAATTTGTAAGATAAGAGTTATTTTCTATTTATATATTTTTTAATTTAATTTTTTAATTATCTTGTCTTTTAAGAGATGTGAGATTTATAAGGTGAAAGTTGCAATCTAATTGTTTTGTAGTACTATTTGACTTGGTAATAGTAGGTGATTTGATACCAATTTAGAATAGTGAATTAGGAGTCTAACTAACCCTATAAAATTAACTTATAAGGTGATAGTTATTACTCACTTATATACTATTTAATTATCTTATCTCTAATCAATGTGAGAATTAAGTTTTTTCTAATAAATAATTATCGTTAATAATAAATTTTAATGTAATATAAATATATTTTTAGTGGCTATTATATATTATTCATTAATATTTTTATTATATAATTAAATAGTGAAAATTAAATTATTATCATTAAATAATTGTCGTTAATAACAAATTTTGTTATAGTGTATGCATTTGTATGGTGAAACACTACAAAATATGTATCGTTCTTATTTAGTATAATCGAAGGTGTTTGGCTAGCTATACCTGAATGTGAACACTTTGGGCCTTGCAAGGACCATTGAGCTGTAACCTTTTCACAAAAAATATTTTTGTTGCAGGTATGAGAAGAGTTGCTGGCCCTGCCATTCCACACACACGTTGCCATGCACTTAAAATTGCCTACAATTAATTAAATAGATCATGTAAGAATATAGATACTATTAAATTAATGCATAGTTAGGCTAGATATAAACTTCCCCATATATAAATGATAAAAACATTAACAAAGTAGAAGGTCATATACATTTGAATCATCAGTTTTGCCGTCACCACGAGCTCCTTGGTCTATCACATTAACAAATGTCCCTTGGGTTGCAACATTGATTCTGATAGACAAAGTGGGTGAAACAAAAAATTGGATCAAGATACAACAGATTATTAGCCTTTGCATTTTCAACAAAAGTAAACTTGCAAATTAAAGAAGAATTTTCTTTTGCTAATTTGTGAAGAAAGAATAGGTATATGGGTTTTTATAGATTACAATTGCTTCAGAATAATTGGAAATGAACAATTAACAAATCCAAAGAAATAAAATGGGATTAAATATGTTTTAAGTCCCTATAAAATTGATGTTTTTGATTTTGGTCTTTCTAGATTTTTTTTCTTTATTTTTCATCCTTCTAAACTTTATAAACATTGTTTTTAGTCTTTATAAAATAAGTAAATTTTGATTTTGATCCCTGTAAAATATTTTTCTTTAATTTTCATCCCTCTAAAATCTAAACTAACTATTTTTAATCCCTAATGATCATTTTAAGGTGGATAAATAATATTTATTTTAAAGACTTATAAATTTTTTTAGAGGGGTTAAATATCAATATAATATTAGTAATGTTTGTAGGTAACACTTAAGATGATTACTTAATTTTTTAATAAATAAAAAATAGTTAAAAAATGATTACATAAAAATAGGGACTAAAAACAACCATTTTAATTTTATAGGGATGAAAAGTATAGAAAAAAATTTATAGGGACTAAAATCAAAATTTGCTAATTTTATAGCGATCAAAAATATATTTAAGCTAATAAAATATCAAATCAACAATATCATAATCAATAAAATAAATTATTTCTTTTATGATCACTACAAAAAAATGTTACATATATACTATAAGTAGTTTCTTTTTGTTGTGGATATGAATTTTGTTAAAAAATAAATCAACAATATCTCAATTTATGCTTTTAATGGTATGAAAATATTATTTTTTGTCAACCATTGATCTAGAAAAAGAAAATAATATATTGTAATATCCAAAGAGAATATCTAAAAATGTAGATTAATTCAATGAAAAAATCACCTAAGAACATTGATTAATAAATTTACACTAGTGGAAAATTAGTATATTACGTGACCTCTTTAACGTCGGAAATACGAAAATCTGACATAAAAAAGATGCGGTAGCATTTTTGTAATTTTCGCGAACTTTTTCACGTCAGACCTGGTATGGTCTGACGTAAAAAGTCAAATCTACGTCGGATGTATGTTGTGTCCGATGTAGATTTGACATTTTACGTCAGACCCTACCAGGTCTGACGTAAAAAAAGGACGCGAAATTGAATAAGTGAGTGCGAGGCACACCACGCGCATTCACTCTTCATCACTTTTCGTTTTTCTCTGTAAACCTTCTCCCTCTCTTTTGTTACTGAATCGTTTTTTTGTCTTTTGCAGAAGGGTGAACTCTTTGTTACTCATTCGCACGCTATTGTAGCTCATTAGGTATGAATCAAGGTTTCATTAACACTTTTTTGCTTCGCATTGCTATTGTGGCTATCTGTTCTATTCAATTTTTTGGTTGTTCTATTTGTATAGGTCGTTGGACTTTTCTTTTGGATTGTTCTACGAAGCAGAACAGCCTGTTCTGCTTACAGAATGGCTTGTTCTGCTTACAGAACAGCTCGTTCTCCAAGAAGAACGGCCCGTTCTCCAAGCAGAACGGGCCATTTTGGATGGAGAACAGGCCGTTCTGCTTGGAGAACAGGCCGTCTACAAGCAGAACAGGCTGTTCTGCTTGCATTCTTATGTTTTTTTACTACTTTTTTACATCAAATTTTGGTAATGTCCGACGTAAATTTACGTCAGTTTTACAGGACCGACGTAAATTTACGTCTCCCGCATTTACGTCGGTATTTTTTCTGACGTAAAAAGCTCAAAATATCCGACGTGGAATACCTCTTTTGTACTAGTGTTAATGAATTTTTAGAAATGGATTAATAAATGTTTAACCATTTAAAAATTATTTACTTTTTTTACTGAAAAAATTATTTACTAGTTAATGAGTAAAAATTGTCTAATATTTTCTATTTTGATTTAAATACATTAATTGATGGAAACCTACTTCCCAAAAATCCCTTTGGAAGAGATAAGTCCAAGAAGTTTGAAAGTTGATAAAGTTGGGTTGAAGAATTGTAGGGTACTTACCCATATTTTGTAAGGTACCCTACCTTTGGAGACCTATCCTACCTTAAAGAACTCCTATTGTTGTTATTTTTCTTACTTGTAATTCATTTCAGTAGTGATTGTATTATGATATTTTGGGCCTTGTATTTTGGGTCAATTAGTGTAGGTAATTTTGTCCTTGAATTACTTGAGGGTGTAATTAGCAGATAAGGGGAGGTGTAACTAGAAAAGTCATGTTATAATTATTTACGCTTAAATGACTCAAATCGTTTTATGGACTATAGGTTTGGATATCCAATTGCTCATGCAAGTGGTTTGGACGTCCACACCTGATGGCATCCTAGCTTGCATGAACTTGAGATGATGAGAGCATGAAATTTCTTTTTGGAGGCAAATGATTTTAGTAATTACTATTTAATAGTGTAATGTTATAAGAGATTTTGGGGGTTAATTGATGTAAATGAATTTTGCCTATTAATGTAATTCTGCTTATTGAGATTTTTACATCAGTTACCAATAGAATTGATGTAGAATATGTCATATTCTACATCAATTCTTGATAGAACCGATGTAGAATGTGTCATATTCTACATCGGTTTTATCAACAATCGATGTAGAATGATTTTAGTAATTACTATTTAATAGTGTAATGTTATAAGAGATTTTGGGGGTTAATTGATGTAAATGAATTTTGCCTATTAATGTAATTCTGCTTATTGAGATTTTTACATCAGTTACCAATAGAATTGATGTAGAATATGTCATATTCTACATCAATTCTTGATAGAACCGATGTAGAATGTGTCATATTCTACATCGGTTTTATCAACAATCGATGTAGAATATGAAGATTTTCATGTGAACCATTTTACCAATTTCCTTAGTTTATTTACATTATTACAATTTATGTGTTGGGGTAGTAAGGGTGTCACAGTGTGACTTAAAAATAAAGAAACATACACCTCTAAATACAAGGGTAAAAATAACTTATACACTTAACTAGTATATAGAAAGAAACAGAAAGCAAGTTATACGAAGTATATACGATAGAAGTTTAAGTAACTATGTGGAGAACACATACTCTATGCTCATGATAAGCAAAGGTCTAAGAAACATCCCCTCTGTAATAGCTTCTTTTAGCATCTTAACCATAGACTGTAACACCCCGAATTTTTCTACTAAAACTACGAATAATTATTATTTATTTTTGTATTTATGAAGATTATTTCCTTATGTTTTATATAGTTCTAATGTGTTCTAACAACCCAATAATTTTATTGCCTCATCCAACTAGGTTTTGAATGCAGCTTCACAAGAATAAACTATGATGCTTTATACAGTGGACAAAGATAATTCAGAGTTCCAAATCAACAAATTCAACTTGCTTTATTTGGAATTGGCTCACAAATGTTAGAATTGGAGAATCAGATCAATTAGTCAACACTATAGTTTGCTGCCAACCTATATGTTGCTCTATAGTACTAAATTTTTGCTCATCATAATATTTTATATTTTTCTTGTAATATAATTTTCCCTATTGTAGCAGGCTGTCATTGGGATCAAAATGTAATTCCTATTTTATGTCTATTGTATTCATTGTACTTTTGGTTTATATATATATATATATATATACACACACACGTTATGAAACTAAGTGATGTAAGACGCACAGAAAATTGCTTTTGGTATTCAATCTTTTTATTTTTCTCTCTTAAGTACTATTATATACTCTTAAGATACACATTCTTTGTCATGATATGTTTTTAAATTATAATGTTATATCATTTTTAGCTGAATTTAACAAGCATGAAATTTCTTTTTGGAGGCAAATGATTTTAGTAATTACTATTTAATAGTGTAATGTTATAAGAGATTTTGGGGGTTAATTGATGTAAATGAATTTTGCCTATTAATGTAATTCTGCTTATTGAGATTTTTACATCAGTTACCAATAGAATTGATGTAGAATATGTCATATTCTACATCAATTCTTGATAGAACCGATGTAGAATGTGTCATATTCTACATCGGTTTTATCAACAATCTGTCTTCCATCTCTTTTTGATCTTTTTACATTTAAAGTTTTTGTCAAAAGTTGTGTTTATCTCACCCATCTCAAAAAGACAAAAATCTATATGTATGATGCACCCATTTGATGTATGAGAAAAATGAAAATATTTGATGCATGCTTTTCCATGAGGTGGCTGAAAATTTACTGCACCATTTAGAAGTCATTCATGCATGTTGATTAGTCCTTGGCATGCTCCAAATTTGTATCGAAATGTATGTGTTATTTGCCTCCTACACATACATGATTGGCCACTTTTCCATGCACATCATTACATGATTATTCCTTTGTCCTTTGTGCACATGTGTGAGTGGTTAAATTTTGTGTGTGAGTGCTGGAATCTTTGACAAAAAATCTGCACAAAAAGAAAGAATTAGTACAAGACACACTCCACTCACAATATGCCTCATCACCCACTCATGTGTTGCCACTTGTCTCTCTAAATTTGACTCCTTTATGTGCTGCATTTTTAATCACCCACAAGTGTAAAAACCAAGCAACATTTAAAAGAAAAATAGAAACAAAAT